TTGGGAGGCTGAGGTAGGAGAATCGCTTGAACCTGGGAGGCAAAGATTGCAGTAAGCCAAGATTGCACCACTGCACTCCAGCCTGGCGACAGAGCGAGACTGTCTCAAAAAAAAAAAAAAAGATAAAGGTGCACTTTGTAAACTGATATGGAAAGATCTCCAAGATTTATTAAGTTATTCACTTAACTTCATAACTTTAATTTTATTCAAGCAAGGTACACATGTGTGTATCATTAGCTTCCTTCAGAGAAAAGTATGGCATGAGGTGGACTATAGGGTCACATTTGTCGACACATAAATAAAAATTTCCCAAAGGAATAAACAAACATGACAACAGTGGTTGTGCCTGTGGGGAGTGAACTGGGTGGCTAGGACAGAGGTGGAGGGGATAATTTTCACTGCACTGTTTTGCTTACTTTTAATCTTACACTATATGAATCTATGTTCATATATCTGTCTAAAAACACAAAACTGAAAGTAAAATCAAAGTGCATATTATAAAGCCAAAATAATATACTGATGTGGGAATGGACAGAGGAATAGACAGCCATATCAATGAAACAAAACAGTAAAAAAGTAAAAAACAGAACGAGGCTGGGCTCAGTGGCTCATGCCTGTAATCCCAGCAGGCCTTTGTGGAATTCCTGCCGTTGAGTATGGGCAAGACCAGCGACTTGTTTCTAACCATTATGCTAAGTGAAATAAGCTGGTCACAGACAAATAGTGTATAATTTCACTAATATGAGGCACCTAGAATAGTTAAATTCATCAAAAGAGAAAGTAGAATGATGATTATCAGGAGCTAGTGGGAGGGGCTATGGGGAGTTGTTTAATAGGTACAGAGTTTCTGCTTTGCAAGATGAAAAAGTTCTCTTTTACCCAACAATGTGAATATACTTAACACTACTGAACTGTAAACTTAAAAACAATGAATATGGTAAATTGTAAGTTGTGTGGTTTTTAACCACAGGTTTTTTTTTTTTTAATGGATATACTGGCCAGGTGTGGTGGCTCACACCTGTAATCCCAGCACTTTAGGAGGCCAAGGTGGGTGGATCATCTGAGGTCAGGAGTTTGAGACCAGCCTGGCCAACATGTGAAATCCTGTCTCTACTAAAAATACAAAAATTAGCTGGGCGTGGTAGCACACACCTGTAATCCCAGCTACTCAGGAGGCTTCGGCAGGAGAACTGCTTGAACCTGGGAGATGGAAGTTACAGTAAGCCAAGATTGCACCACTGCACTTAGGCGGAGTAAGACTCCATCTAAAAAATAATAATAAATAAATAAAAGGTTATTTCCAATGGGGAAGGGTATATGAAAGAACAGACACGTGGCCAGGTGCAGTGGCTCACACCTCTAATCCCAGCACTTTGGAAGACCAAGGCAGACCGATCACCTGGAAGGCCAGGAGTTTGAGACTAGCCTGGCCAACATGGCAAAACCCTGTCTCCACTAAAAGTACAAGAATTAGCTGACTGTGTTGGCAGGCACCTGTAATCCCAGCTATTCAGGAGGCTGTAATGCCAGCTATTCAGGAGGCTGAAGCAGGAGAACTGCTTGAACTTGGGGGGCGGAGGCTACAGTGAGTCAAGATTGCTCTATCACACTCTAGCCTGGGTGACAAGAGCAAGACTCCTTCTCAAAAAAAAAAAAAAAAAAAAGGGACACTCATATGTTGGTGGAAGTAGAAACTGACACTACCTTTATAGGGAATAATATGGTAATATCTACCTTAATTTTAAATGTACAAACCTTCTTACCCGGCTATTTTACCTCTAAGAACACGTCCCACAAATATCCTTATGTAAATATCCGACACTATATAAGAGATCGAGACCATCCTGGTCAGCATGGAAAAACCCCATCTCTACTAAAAATACAAAAAATTAGCCGGGCATGGTGGCGCGTGCCTGTAGTCCCAGCTACTCAGGAAGCTGAGGCAGGAGAATTGCTTGTGCCCGGGAGGCGGAGGTTGCGGTGAGCTGAGATCGCGCCATTGCACTCATCTGTGTGACAGAGCAAGACTCCTTCTCAAAAAAAAAAAAAAAAAAGCAAAATTTGATACATCTTAGATATCTTTCCATATCAGTACATAAAGATATATATTCCCTTTTTTTTTTTTTTTTGAGATCTCGGCTCACCGCAACCTCCGCCTCCCGGGCACAAGCAATTCTCCTGCCTCAGCTTCCTGAGTAGCTGGGACTACAGGCACGCGCCACCATGCCCGGCTAATTTTTGTATAGTAGAGACAGGGTTTCACTGCGTTGGTTCGGCTGGTCTTGAAATCCTGACCTCAGGTAATCCACCTGCCTTAGTCTCCCCAAGTGCTGGGATTACAGGTGTGAGCCACTGCGCCATTTTGCTTTTAAGATGGGAGTTATTTGGTACAGCATGATTCCATTTGTGTAGAAAGAAAATATGTATATATACACACACACGCTTGCATATACTCCCCAGAAAACTCCAGGAAGGGTGCAAATGAAACACTCAGTGATAGGTACCATGGGGATTCAAACTGGGGTAAGGAGTGAAGTAGGGAATGGGAGACTTTCACTTTTCATGTTTCATGCTTCCATATTATTTGAGTTTCTACAATAAATTTGGAAGAATAAGTGAGCAAGCAGGCAAGCAAATAAATGAATATCCTTCCAACAGCCTTATACTGCCTTAGGACAAAATCCAAATTCCTTAATAAGAAAGTAAAATTCTTTGTGATCTGCTTCCTGCTTCACACTCCAGCCTCATCTCTCCCCACTCCCTTCTCATGCTCAATCTATGCTCCAGTGTCACCAAACTTTCAGTTCCCCCAAGCTTTGCCAAATGTAGCTTCTTTTGCTTAGAACACTCCCTACTCTAGTCTTTATATAGGCCTCAGGTCCCAGCTTAGAAACCTCTTCCTCCAGGAAGCCTTTCCTGGTACCTCCTCCCAACCCTTTTGGGTTAGGCACCACTCCAACACAACCAGCCGCCCTCTGAACTCCTCTAGTGTGAGTTTGTCACACGGTGTCACAATGACTGGCAAAATTATCTGCCTCTCCCACTGGACTGAAGTTCTGCCAGGCAGTGACTGTGCCTGTGTGGGTCATTGTATCTCCAGCATCAAGCACAGTGTCTGGCACGCAGTGTCCAGTAAGTATTTGTTATATTGGACTTTCATTATTAAAAAAAAAAGTGAACCACATATGGGCAATTTAGGAACATAGAAAAGGGGAGGATTATAATTCTACCTTCCAAATACAACCACTATTTTCACCCAACATTTCTACTTCTTGTGCATGTTTTTTCATAGCTGTATTCCCAGGCTGGACCCTTCTGACACAGTCATTTTGGTCAGAATATTTAACTGCACTGTCAAAGGATGAGCCTTTTGTAAGCCAAAGTAAAGATGACTGTTTTTGTTTTGTTTTTTTTAAGACACGGAGTTTTGCTCCTGTTGCCCTGGCTGGAGTGCAATGGTACGATCTTGGCTCACTGCAACCTCCACCTCCTGGGTTCAAGTGATTCTCCTGCCTCAGCCTCCTGAGTAGCTGGGATTACAGGATTACAGGGTATGCACCAGCATGCATGGCTATTTGTATTTTTTTTTAGTAGATGCAGGGTTTCTCCATGTTAGTTAGGCTGTAATCCCAGACCTCAGGGATTACAGGCACAAGCCACGGCACCCGGCCTAAGATCTCTGTTTTTATTATCAAGTAATAGATGTAACAGACCACAGATACCCCGGATCCTCTCTCATCACAAACCCATCTCTCATTTCTGGGGACATGAGCATGCATTACTATTATATTTTTTAAAGAGCAATGATTTGTTTATAGCCTGCTGGGTTATAGCATCTAAAGAATTATTCTTTCCCCAAAATAATCATTATAAAGGAATGTTATTAAAACGTTAATGTAACGTATGTATTACTGAAGAAATTGTCGGGGATTTCATTGAGGATGTCCCTAACAGTGCTAGAGTCAAGAGTAAGAGCTCATACTAATTCCCACATAACCCTCCCCACTTCCCTACTGAAGGCCTATAAAGAGAAGCTCACGAATTTGAGAGAAGAAACCCACAGGAGATACAAATGACTCTTGAGACCATCTCCGAGCCCTGCCTCATCCCTCACTGCCCCTCCCTCCCTCACACCCACCCTGAAATCAGAGGGTGGCAACTGGCAATGAGAATCAGGCACAGAAATAGATTCTCTGTTTTGCTCATTACTTGATATATATATTTTTGAGATGGAGTCTCGCTCGGTTGCCCAGGCTAGAGTGCAGTGGCATGATCTCAGCTCACTGCAACCTCCACCTCCCAGGTTCAAGCAATTCTCTGCCTCAGCTTCCCAAGTAGTTGGGATTACAGGCGCCTGCCACCATGCCTGGCTAATTTTTATATTTTTAGTAGAGACGGGGTTTCACCATCTTGGCCAGGCTGGTCTTGTACTCCTAACCTTGTGATCCACTTGCCTCGGCCTTCCAAAGTGCTGGGATTACAGGCACAAGCTACCTCGCCTGGCCTACTTGACAGTTTTTTAAACCACATTTTTTTTTGAGACAGTGTCTTGCACTGTTGCCCAGGCTGGAGTGTGGTAGCTCAATCTCAGCTCACTGCAACATCCGCCTCCCAGGTTCAAGCAATTCTCTGTCTCAGCCTCCAGAGTAGCTGGGATTACAGGCGGCTGCCACTGTGCCTGGCTAATTTTTGTATTTTTAGTGAAGACGGGGTTTCACTATATCGGCCAGGCTGGTCTCGAACGCCTGATCTCATAATCTATCTGCCTTGGCCTCCCAAAGTACTGGGATTATAGGTGTGAGCTACTGCGCCAGGCCTTTAAACTACATTTTTTTTTAAAAAGTAGTGTCAGATTTTTTTTGACAATGTCAAAAAGACACTAAAGACAAACGAGTTATATCCTAGCAACTGTGTGAAAACTTCATATACTCCTATAACCATAAGTCCATGTAATTTTGTATTCCTTTTTTAGTGTTTTGTTCAACATAGTAATATAAGTATTTTTTTTTAAGGTGTGCACTTTATTCAACTGGTCTCAAGTCAGTGTACAGGTAAGCCCTGGCTGCCTCCACCCACTCCCAGGGAGACCAAAAGCCTTCATACATCTCAAGTTGAGGGACAAAAAAAGGGGTAGCCAGAGGCTAAAATCTTTCAAAATAAAACAAAATAAAAGTATTAAGGCGAAATTTAAAAATTTTTTCATTACATAATTTACAACAAAAGCAACGCTGTTATCTCCCCTGTGTGGACTCGGGAGAGGACTGGGCCATTCTCCTTAGAGAGAAGTAGGGTGGCTTTTGGGAGTGCAAGGGACTTCCTGTAACAATGCATCTCACGATATTTGGAATGACTTAAAAAAAAAGCAATATACACAATCAAGTCCTTGGCCACATTGTAGAGCTTTGGGGGATGCTCGCACCAACCGACTGCTGTCACCTTCACCGTTCCAGTTTTTAAATCCTGAGTCAAGCCAAAAAAAAAAAAAAAAACCAAAACAAAACAAAAAACAAACAAAGCCATGCCAATCTCATCTTGTTTTCTGCGCAAGTTAGGTTTTGTCAAGAAAGGGTGTAACGCAACTAAGTCAGAGTCCGCCTAGAAGCATTTGCGGTGGACGATGGAGGGGCCGGACTCTTCGTACTCCTGCTTGCTGATCCCCATCTGCTGGAAGGTGGACAGTGAGGCCAGGATGGAGTCACCGATCCACATGGAGTACTTGCGCTCAGGAGGAGCAATGATCTTGATCTTCATCGTGCTGGGTGCCAGAGTGGTGATCTCCTTCTGCATCCTGTCAGCGATGCCAGGGTACATGGTGGTACCACCAGACAGCACTGCGTTGGCATACAGGTCTTTGCGGATGTCCACGTCACATTTCATGATGAAGTTAAAGGTAGTTTCGGGGATGCCACAAGATTCCATGCTCAGAAAAGAAGGCCGGAAGAGCGCCTCAGGGCAGCAGAACCGCTCATTGCCGATGGTGATAACCTGACCATCCGGCAGCTCATAGCTCTTCTCCAGGGAGGAGCTGGAGGCTGCCGTGGCCATCTCCTGCTCGAAGTCCAGGGCGACATAGCACAGCTTCTCCTTGATGTCACGCATGATTTTCCGCTCAGCTGTGGTGGTGAAGCTGTAGTGGTAAGGATCTTCATGAGGTAGTCAGTCAGGTCCCGGCCAGCCAGGTCCAGACGCAGGATGGCGTGGGGGAGGGCATACCCCTCATAGATGGGCACACGATGCCAGTGGTACGGCCAGAGGCGTACAAGGAAAGCACAGCCTGGATGGCCACATACATGGCTGGGGTGTTGAAGGTCTCAAACATGATCTGGGTCATCTTCTCATGGTTGGCCTTGGGGTTCGGGTGGCCTCAGTAAGCAGCACGGGGTGCTCCTCAGGAGCCACACGCAGCTCGTTGTAGAAAGTGTGGTGCCAGATCTTCTCCACGTCGTCCTAGTTGGTGACAATGCTGTGCTCGATGGGGTACTTCAGGGTCAGGATGCCTCTCTTGCTCTGGGCCTCATCACCCACGTAGGAGTCCTTCTGACCCATGCCCACCATCACGCCCTGGTGCCTGCGGTGCCCCATGATGGAGGGGAAGACGGCCCGGGGAGCATCGTCGCCCGCGAAGCCGGCCTTGCACATGCCGGAGCTGTTGTCGACAACAAGTGCAGCAATATCATCATCCATGGTGGCTGGTGGTGGGTGTGGATGGGCAACGGAACGGCAAGGGCAAGGCTCTGTGCTCGCGGGGTGGATGTGGTCTTGGCAGTCATAAGTATTTTTCCATGTAGCTGAAGTTTCTACATTAATAATGTTAAACTGCACCAAGCCGAAAGATCATATTTTACTGAAATCGATTACTCACCATAATAAATAATATTACATTATCAGGCTTTCTTTTCAGATATTAAATTACATTCTTAGGATAGTGTCCCCAAAGTAGAATCCATCAAATATTATTACTATCTTAATATCCTTTATATATATGCCAAAACTGTTTTTGAAAGTATGTCAGCCTGGGCAACACAGTGAGACCCTGTCTCTACAAAAAACAAAAAATTAGCAAGGCATGGTAGTATGAACTTATAGCCCCAGCTACTTCAGAGGCTAAGGTGGAAGGATCACTTGAATCCTGAAATTTAAGACTGCAGTGAGCTATGATCACACCTATGCACTCCAGCCTGGGTAACAGAGCAAGACCGTTTCTAAAACAAAAAGCAAAAAAGATGTATACCAATTTACAGTGTCTGTAACAATATTCCAGTATACTTTGGAGATTTTGCAGGTTCAGTTCCAGACCACTGCAATAGAGTGAGTATCTCAATAAGTCACATTAATTTTTTGGTTTTCCAGTGCATATAAAAGTTAAGTTTGGCCAGGTGTGGTGGCTCATGCCTGTAATCCCAGCACTTTGGGAAGTCAAGGCAGGCAGATCATCTGAGGTTGGGAATTCGAGACCAGCCTGACCAACATGGAGAAACCTCATCTCTACTAAAAATACAGAATTAGTCAGGTGTGGTGGCACATACCTGTAATCCCAGCTACTCAGGAGGCTGAGGCAGAAGAATCACTTGAGGTGGAGGTGGAGGTTGCAGTGACCCAAGATGGTGCCACGCACTCCAGCCTAGGTGACAGAGATTCTGTCTCAAAAAACAAACAATAACAATGAAATTGGCTACATCAATTGATGCTTCCTTTCACAAAAAAGTTCTCTATATTATGTGATGCTCCCACAGTAGAATTTCTTTCAAAACTGGAGTCAATAGGCCGGGTGTGGTGGCTCACACTGTAATCCGAGCACTTTAAGAGGCTAAGGCAGGTGGAACACTTGAGGCTAGAAGTTTAAGACCAGCCTGGCCATCTCTACTAAAAATACAAAAATTAGCTTGGCATGGTGGCACATGCCTGTAATCCAAGCTACTTAAGAGGCTTAGGCAGGAGAATCACTTGAATCCACGAGGGGGAGGTTGCAGTGAGCTGAGTTTGTGCCACTGCACTCTAGCCTGGGTGACAGAGTGAGACTCTGTCGCAAAAAAAAGTTGGAGTTAATCCTCTGAAACCCTGCTTCTGATTTAATGAATTTATGTGGTATTTTTAAATCCTCTGTCATTTTAACAATGGTCACAACATCTTTACCAGGAGTAGATTCCATCTCTAGAAACTGCTTTCTTTGCTCATCCACAAGAAGCAATTCCTCATCCGTTCAAGTTTTATGAGACCACAGCAGATCAGTCACATCTTCAGGCTTCACTTGTAAGTCTAGATCTCTGGCTATTTCAATCACATCTGCAGTTAACTTCTTCCACTGAAGTCTTAAACCCCTCAAAGTCATCCAAAAGAGTTGCAATCAACTTCAAGCAAATTCTTGTTAACATTGATAAGGTTGTGATCTCTTCCCATGAACATGAATATTCTTAATGGCATTTAAAAGAGTGAATCCAGGCCAGGCGCGGTGGCTCAAGCCTGTAATCCCAGCACTTTGGGAGGCCGAGGTGGGTGGATCATGAGGTCAGGAAATCGAAATAATCTTGGTCAACATGGTGAAACCCCGTCTCTACTAAAAATACAAAAAATTAGCTGGGCATGTGGGCGTGTGCCTGTAATCCCAGCTACTCAGGAAGCTGAGGCAGGAGAATTGCCTGAACCCAGTAGGTGGAGGTTGCGGTGAGCCGAGATCACGCCATTGCACTCCAGCCTGGGTAACGAGCGAAACTCCGTCTCAAAAAAAAAAAAAAAAAGAAGAGTGAATCCTTTCCAGAAGGTTTTCAGTGCACTCTGCCAAGATCCCTCAGAGGAATCATCATCTATGACAGCTATATATAGCCTTATGAAATGTATTTCTTACATAATAAGACTTGGAAGTTGAAATTCCTTCTTGATCCATGGGCTGTAGAATGGATGCTGTGTTAGTAGACATGAAAACATTAATCTTGTACATTTCTATCAGAGCTCTTGGATGATTAGGTGCATTGTCAATGAGGAGTAATATTTTATTTTATTTATTCACTTTTTTGAGATGGAGTTTTTCTCTTGTTGCCCACGCTGGAGTTGCTATGGTGTGATCTTGGCTCACTGCAACCTCTGCCTTCTAGGTTCAAGCAACTCTCCTGCCTCAGCCTCCCAAGTAGCTAGGATTACAAGATCGAGCCACCACGTTCCCCGCTAATTTTTGTACTTTTAGTACAGACAGGGTTTTGTCATGTTGGTGAGGCTGGTCTCGAACTCCTGACTTCAGGTGATCTGCCTACCTCAGCCTCCCAAAGTGCTGGAATGACAGGTGCGAGCCACCACACCCAGCCAGGAGTAGTATTCTAGTTGTTTTTTACCAACCAAGAAGCAGCACTGAATTGAGCAGCAATATTTTGAAAGGAATCTTTTTTTCTGAGAAGTAGGTCTCAACAGTGGGCTTAAAATGTACAGTAAACCATGCTGTAAACATATGTACTGTCATCCTGGCCTTGTTATTACATTCAGACGGCAAAGGCAGAGTATATTTAGAGTAATTCTTAAGGGCCCTAGGATTTTAGGAATGGTAACAAGCATAAGCATTTATTTTGAAACGACTTAAAGTTATCGGCTGCATTAGTCTCTAACAAAAGAATCAATGTGTCCTTTGGAGCCTTGAAGCCAGGCATTAAAGTCCTAGATGGCATCTGCTTCCAAAAGAAGGCTGTTTCATCCATGTTAAAAATCTGGGCTGGGCGCGGTGGCTCACAACTATAATCCCAGCACTTTGGGAGGCCGAGGCGGTTGGATCACCTGAAGTCAGGAGTTCCAGACCAGCCTGACCAACATGGTGAAACCCTGTCTCTACTAAAAATACAAAAATTAGCTGGGTGTGGTGGCGGGCACCTGTAATTCCAGCTACTCAGGAGGCTAAGGCAGGAGAATTGCTTGAACCCGGAAGGCAGAGGTTGCAGTGAGCTGAGATTGCACCATCACACTCCAGCCTGGGCAACAGAGCAAGACTCTGTCTCAAAAAGAGAAAAAAAAAAAGCAAGGAAGAAAATCTGTTGAGTGCAGCCACAGTCAGCAATGACCTCAGCTAGATCTTCTGGATAAATTGCTGCAGCTTCTACAGCAGCAACTGTTGCTTCACCTTGTACTTTTATGTTATAGAGATGGCAGCGGCTGCCTTTTTTTTTTTTTTTAACAGAATCTTGCTCTGTCACCCAGGCTGCAGTGCAGTGGCACAATCTCAGCTCACTGCAACCTCCGCCTCCCAGGTTCAAGTGATTCTCCTGCCTCAGCCTCCCAAGTACCTAGGACTACAGGCACAAGCCACCACACCCAGATAATTTTTGTATTTTTAATAGAGATAGGGTTTCATCATGTTGGCCAGGCTGGTCTCAAACTCCTGACCTCAAGTGATCCGCCCACCTCAGCCTCCAAAGCGCTGGGATTACAGGCATGAGCCACTGCACCTGGCTAAGACGGTTTTTTTCCTTAAACCTCATGAATCAACGTCTGCTAGCTTCAAACTTTTCTTCTGTAGCTTCCTCAGCTCTCTCATTCGTCACAGAACTGAAGAGAGTTGGGCTTTGCTCTGGATTAGGCTCTGGCTTAAGGGAATGTGGCTGTTTTTATCTTCTATCCAGACCCCTTAAATTTTCACCATATGAGCAATAAGGCTGCTTCACTTTTTTTGTTTGTTTGTTTGTTTTGAGACGGAGTTTCGCTCTTGTTACCCAGGCTGGAGTGCAATGGCGCGATCTCCGCTCACCACAACCTCTGCCTCCTGGGTTCAAGCAATTCTCCCGCCTTAGCCTCCTGAGTAGCTGGGACTACAGGCACGCGCCACCATGTCCTGCTAATTTTTTTTGTATTTTTAGTAGAGACGGGGTTTCAACCATGTTGACCAGGATGGTCTCGATCTCCTGACCTGGTGATCCACCCGCCTCGGCCTCCCAAAGTGCTGGGATTACAGGTTTGAGCCACCGCACCCGGCCCTGTTTCACTTTCTTATCATTTGTGTGTTCACCAGAATAGCACTTAATTTCCTTCAAGCATGTGTCCTACCTTGGCTTTCAACATGCTTTCCTCACTAAGCTCAATCATTTGTAGCTTTTTATTTAAAGTGAGAGACTGTGACTCTTCCTTTCACTTGAACACTTAGAGGTCTAATTTCATACTGTTATCTCTGGGAAGATGGAGGCCCAAGGATAGGGAGAGAAACAGGAATGGCTAATCAATGGAGCAGTCAGAAGACACACAGTATTTCTCTTAAGCTTACCATCTTATGTGGGTGCTATTCATGGCACCCCAAAACAATTACAACAGTAACACCAAAGATCACATAGATCACCATAACAGGCATAATAACGAAAAAGTGTGAAACACTGCAAGGATTCCTGAAATGCAACATAGAGACATAAAGTGAACACGTTCTGTTGGAAAAAACCGCACCAAAAGACTTGCTCCACACAGGTTTGCTACAAACCTTAAACTTGTAACAAACACAGGATATGCAAGGCAGAAAAAGCAAAGCACAATAAAACTGGGTGTGCCTGTATACAAGAACAAATTGCATTACCAGCTCACCAACACTGAATATCGCTCAAAATGTCTTCCTAATTGAATGGGTAAAAAGGCTACATTATGACTTTGATAATTAGCCTTTACACTGTTCTAGGCACAGTGTTAGATGCTTCATATATCTCATCTTGTTTAATCCTCACAAGATTGTGAAGTGCTACCGTTATTATCCCCACCTTACAGATAAAGAAACTGAGGCTTAGAAAGCTTAAATTGAATGCAAAGCTTATAAAGGATAGAGACAGGCTTTGAACTCAAAGTTTGAGTCCATGCTCTATCCATTCCTGCCTGTGGTATCTCATTATTGTTTTAATCTATGTGTCATTGCTTACAGTGACAACAAACACACTCCCAGATGTTTCTTTGCTGGTTAGGTTTCCTATTTTCCTGATTTTTCTAACTATGGCAAATTCAAAGGGTCAGAGGTAGCCTGAAGTTGGAGTTTTAGAGATAACAGTTTGACCATGGGCAAGACAGAGTTTGTAGTAAAAGTAGGTAGCAAGCAAGAAAAAAACATCGATACTAACTGCAGGGACTAGTCTAGGGCCTTTGCAGCCTTTACTGGATGGCGGGGATGGTAAGTTCCACAAATTAAAAAGGGCAGAGAAAATAACAGAGGAGGGTCCAGCTTCTGGCCCTCTGAACAGCTTCAGTAGTTGCTAAAACACTATCTGCACTTTATTCTTGTGAGTGAAGGCAAAGGAGCAGATACTACCAACGCTAATGATGTCATGGGGTTAAACAAATAAATCAGGAAATGGTCTCTTTTTTCTTCAAGAAATACTCTGGTTGAATTTCCTCAACAGGTTTCAACTTCTGCATTCAGAGAAAATAGTTCTGTTTTAGTAATTCAACAAAAGAACAAAACACTGCCAGATGGATAGCCGGTAGTTACCAGCATGAACTCCAGAATCAAAGAGCCTAGACTTCGAATCTGGCTTTACCATTTTTGGCTGTGTGATGCAAGGAAACTGTTTAATCCTTCTTGGCCTCCATTGTCTTCTGTAATCAGACAGTAATAGTACCTACTCTGGGGTTACCGGAAAGAGTAAATGATGCAAAGCCTTAGCCATTAGGCCTGACGCATGGCACAAGTTCAGTATATTTTCACCAGCAGTGGTAGTAACACTAATATGAATGGCAGTAATTTTGTTGGAAAGAAGGAATTAGTTTTTCCATTTCATTCAGAAACAAAGGGCAAATATGCTGATCAAATGGTATGAAGTGGCTGAAAAATTTCAGACTAAGTAAGCAGAACCTGATTCCAGTACCAACCACTTACTAGCTGAGTAATGTTGAGCTTCTTACCTATCTTTTCTTGTTTTCAGTTATCTAACCGTAAAGGGGGAGTGCTGCCAGAAAACGGGCTGTAGAGTCCAGTGTGGTTCTAACAGTTCTGATTCATCTGCCAGGACAAGGAGTGCACTATGGAAAGACATCTGTGCCAAATGAGAGCCATCCATTCTTAGCAGAAGCTGAGTCAAGGCTGTGCTTTGCCCCTCATTAAACATTTCTCTTTTAATAATCTTCTCTCTGCTTCATTTCAGATATATTTTAACTTATAAGCTGTTTTAAAAATTTATTTTTATTTATATTGAAACAGAATTTCACTCTGTCACTCAAGTGGGAGTGGAGTGCAATGATCTCTGCTCACTGCAACCTCTGCCTCCTGGGTTCAAGTGATTCTCCTCCCTCAGCCTCCCGAGTAGCAGCTGGGACTACGGGCACCCGCCACCAAACTCAGCTAATTTTTGTATTTTTAGCAGAGATGGGGTTTCTCCATGTTTGGCAGGCTGGTCTCGAACTCTTGGCCTCAAGTGATCTGCTCACCTCAGCCTCCCAAAGTGTTGGGATTACAGGTATAAGCCATCATGCCCAGCCCGTTTAACTTTTAAATGCTAGTTCTAAATTAACTAATTCTAAATGATCCCCCAAAACTTCTTAGAGACTGAGCAGGCACAGAATGGTAGAAGGCATTTTCTTGAGCAATTTCATGAATGACAAGATGGCAGAGACAAGCACAGGCATGGCCAGTGCCCAGCAGCCACCACAAGGGGGCAACATGGCCTATGTGACCTGGTCTGCTCCTGCCGCCCACCCTATGCTCACTGGCTTTCTGACCTTTCGGCTCCTGCTTGCTGGGCTCGTCTGGCTTGCCCCCTCTGATGGTAATTGACCCCCGTCTTCCATTCAGGCTGTTGCCTCCCAGTTCTGGCCTTTCTTAAGCATGTTCCAGGGTGAGACTCTCGGTTCAGGGGAGTTAAGACTCATTAACGAGAGATTTTCTAGGTAGTCAAGAAAAGGAGTTTGGTTTGGACTGAAAGCAGTATTAAATTAGTAAAAGGGTTTCTCAGGTGGCCAGGGAAGTGAATACAGAGAATATATTCTAAGACGAGGAACCAGATAAAAATGAAACTAAACTGAGTATATAATAGTTGCGGGGGACTAGAGAAAGGCATCTCCCCATACTGAGAAAAAGAAAGAGTGCAACACTTTTCCTACATAGAAGCAGATTGCTTTTGTGTGTCTATACTTGCTTAATTTACAAACTAAGAGCAAAGGCCTGAGAAAGATAAACCTGGGGTTGAGTCCTCCTGCCTGTCACTTGCCAGTTGTGTGACCTTGGGTTGTAGAGTCCATTGTGGTCATCTGCCAGGGCAAGGAGTACAATATGGGAAGATGTCTGTTCCATATGAGAACCATCCATCTCTATCAGTGAAATGGGGATAATAATGCCTGTGTCAGAAGGCTGATGAGGGAACTCAGTGACACCAGGTACACAGCATGGCTCAGGTGCTCAGTGACTGTGTGTATTCTCCTCCTCCCCACTCTTCAACGTCTGTCCTGTGTCTGTGGGGAAGTGTTTTCCCCTGCATTCAACAAAACTAGCATAGGGCTGGGTGCAGTGGCTCACGCCTGTAATCCCAGCACTGTGGGAGGCCCAGGCAGGCGGATCACAAGGTCAGGAGTTCGAGACCAGCCTGGCCAAACCTGTCTCTACTAAAAATACAAAAAACTAGCTGGGCATGGTGGCACGTACTTGTAATCCCAGCTACTCTGGAGGCTGAAGCAGGAGAATCACGTAAACCCCACGAGTCAGAGGTTGCACTGAGCCAAGACTGTACCACTGCACTCCAGCCTGGGAGACAGAGCGAGGCGCTCTCTCAAAAAAAAAAAAAACTAGCATAAAAGAAAGTGGTTGGTTACTCTGGCGACTTCCTCCAAAGAGGTTACAGAAGAAAATGGGGAGGGGAGTGCTTTCTCAAGTCACATCCCCAAGGGGCTGGCAGTAGAGACAGAAAAGAGCTAAGACATTAGCTATTTGTTGTCGAGGCAGCCAACTGCTTATAGCCAGGGAGTTCCTTGAAGCACATACCATTGGCTTTGAGCAGGGAAGTAACCACAATGTCTGGCATCAAGACCTTTGTAGAATCTTCCACAGATGTCATTCTGTCTCTTGGAAAATAGCCACAGTAATTATAAACAACTAAAGCTTCCTTTTAAGTTTGAAGTATAAAAACTAGCTGTTTCATAACATACAGACCAATTCTAACTCCTGACTATTGTGAAACTTGGTGGAGAATTGGAACAAAACTTTGGCTAGTTCTACAGCCAAACATGTAGGGACTTAAAATTGTAGTTAGAGATAATCACTACTTTAAATGTAGTGCCTCTTCTCCCCTCTTTTATGACCTGACAGTCAGGGGCTAGATTAGGGAGAGAAGTAAGAGGATTGCTTCATATTAATATGACTGACTATAACACAGATTCAAAATGCAAGGGAATAGAGAGATCTAGCTTCTTTCCTGGTTCTACACTGCCACCGCTGCCACCCCCTCATGTGTCTTTGCTGTAGGTATTCTCTCTGCCTCTCTTGGGAGCTGCACTGAGTCAAAGTACTAACAAACAGCCCGGCTGACTTCAGGACAGGCAGATTAAGACTTCAGCAAATGTGTTTTTATCTAGTCTGTGAAGAATTAGTAGGATGCAACTAGCCTGTATGGGATTTAAGAAACTTCATTAATAAACAGCAAAACCTTAGTTCTCTAGGCCTAGATAGAATACCTGTCAAGAAAGAGGGAAATGGTACCAACAATCTATTGAAGTCAAATTAGAAGGCTGCAACAGGGAGTTTATACCAGGAACTTTGCAATATGTATTGAACAACAACTGCGCTGGGCATTTTTCTAAGGATTTGGATGCATGACCTAAGTTAATCCTCCCAACAGCTTTTTCCTAGGTACTATTAGTAGCCACATCTTGCAGTTGAGTGAGCTGACATGCAGAGAGACTAAGGATCTGGTGTACAATCCAGTGCTGGTTAGTGGTGAAACTGGTCACCGGATCCCCACTCTAGGGACTGCACTTGTGACCATTAGCATGAACATTTTGTCTATTTTGACGTGCTGGATGGCAGGTCGTACAGACTTATGATAGAGACTTATTAAATTGCTTTATCACACAAGAAATACCACACAAGAAAAGGGCTTGTGTGGTATTAAATTTTCTTGGCCAATTTGGTTGAACCCCCAAGTGGCTCACAAGACAGACAGTTCTTGTGTGAGACGTCTCCACAAAGTAAACCCGAACCTGCAGGTGCAATCAAGAGCACTGCTCATTCATTCTGGGGCCTTTTACTGTTCAAATTCAAACAGGACCTGCAGCTCCAACAGGCAGTATCTGGGCGCTGCACTCTTCCCCAGTGTTCTGAAAGCCAGACCTTTGAGGATCTGCAGAGCTGGTGCCTGATAGGAAGTCACACGATTTCAGAAGAGCCTGACAGGTTTTGACCATATGAATTACACATCTAGTTTCTGAGGCTGCCTCTGGAGTTCACCCCACAGGGGATATCTGAAGCATTCATCATCTGCCCTGATCATGCTTCGTAGCTGAGGAGGGTGGAGTAAGCTGAAGGCAATCTCTGCCCACAGGGAAGACAACGTATGCCTGGTAACTGGAGCTAAGCCCACAAATTCCAGAACTCTTTTGAAATTTCTGATTATGTGGTCAAAGTCTGGGAAATGTTTGGGTCTACTTGGCTCTGAGAAAACACACTCTCTTTCAAGAATCTGGTAGAACCAAAGCTGAGAGCCATGATCAGTGATGTAAACTGGAAGTCAAGATTTACAGCTGTCCTCACTGAATGGACATCCACAAAGTTCCAGCCCTCAACAAAGGCTAGCTGAATGAATAAATCCCTATTCTCAAGTATTTGATCAACTACCAACCCCAGACTGCTAAGTAGATCAATAAAAGAAGGTTCCAAAATCATGTTCAAAAAGCAAATGATAGTGTGAGGAAAGCTATTTGTAACATATAAGACAACATGTATCTCCAACATTCAAAGAACTCCTACAATTTGTTAAGAAAAACCTGCAAACTGAGAAAAGATTATGAACAGGAAATTCCCAGAAGATGAAACCAGAATGGCTAGTAAATACATGAAAAAGGCCAGGCGTGGGTGGCTCATGCCTATAATCCCAGAACTTTGGGAGGCCAAGGTGGGCGGATCACTTAAGCCCAGGAGTTGGAGACCAGCCTGGCCAACAAGGCAAAACCCAGTATCGAACAAAAACACAAAAATTAGCTGGGTAACAAAATTTAGCCGGGTGTGGTGGCATGCATCTGTGGTTCCAGCTACTAGGGGGGCTGAGGTGGGAGGATCACTTGTGCCTGGGAGGCAGAGTTTGCAGTGAGCCAAGATCACACTATTGCACTCCAGCCTGAGTGACAGAGTGAGACCTTACCTCAAAAAACTTAACAACAAAAAATATATATATGAAAAAATTTCAACTTTACCAGCAATCAGGAAAATACATATGAAAATAATGTACCCATGATCTTGTGTAATTCTTCCAAGAAACCTGGGAGACAGAATCATTATTTTATAACTAAGAATATTAAAGTTTAGAGATGTTTTAATTCAACCAGTAATTGATAGAGCTGTGACTTGAACATAAATCTGGATAGTAACAAAGCCTATGTTTATTCTGACTTGCTGCTCTAGTCAAATATTTGTGTGGTGGCTCAGGTCCTTTTTGGCAAGTCGCTTAACCTCTTAAGACTCAGTTTTCTCATCTGTAAAATAGGAGTCATAAAAGTGCCATCACACAAGCTTAATGTGAGAATTCAATGAGATAATACATATAAAACGTACAGAATAGTGCTAATACTCAGGTATTCAACTATCTGATTCATTCATTCAAGAAACATTTTTGGAACTCATACCCTGGCCAGGTACTGATCTAGACTTTAGAAATACAGCAGTGAACCAAAGCACCCTTGCCCTCAGGGGCTTGAGGAGAAAGAATATTAAATAAATAAATAAAAATACACAGTAGGCCAGGCATGGTGGCTCACACCTGTAATCCCAGCACTTTGGGATGTCAAGGCAGTCAGATCACCTAAGGTCAGGAGTTAGAGACCAGCCTGGCCAACATGGCGAAACCCCATCTCTACTAAAAACACAAAAAGCAGCTGGCATGGTGGCATGCATCTGTAGTCCCAGCTACTAGGGAAGTTGAGGCAGAAGAATTGCTTGAACTAGGGAGGTGGAGGTTGCAGTGAGCCGAGATCACACCACTGCACTCCAGCCCAGGCGACACAGCAAGATTCAGTTTCAAAAAAAAAAAAAAAAGTATATATATATACACACACACACACACACACACATATATATACATACATACATATATATATATACACACACATACACACATATACATATACATATAAAAATATGTATATATCAGGGCTGGGCGCAGTGGCTCATGCCTGTAATCCCAGCACTTCGGGAGGCCAAGGCAGGTGGATCACAAGGTCAAGAGATTGAGACCATCCTGGTCAACATGGTGAAACCCCATCTCTACTAAAAATACAAAAAATGAGCTGGGCATGGTGGCACGTGCCTGTAATCCCAGCTACTCAGGAGGCTGAGGCAGGAGAATTGCCTGAACCCAGGAGGCGGAGGTTGCGGTGAGCCGAGATCGCGCCATTGCACTCCAGCCTGGGTAACAAGAGCGAAACTCCATCTCAAAAAAAAAAAAAGTATATATCACATGTTGACTGAAAAGAAAAAGAAGTACATATGTATATAATATGTATATATAATATATACATATAGAGTGTGTGTGTGTGTGTGTGTGTGTGTGTGTGTGTGTGTTATATTAGATCGTGCTCAGTGCTGAGGAGAAAACTAAGGCAGGAAAGACAGTGGAGGGAGTTGCAATGTTAGAGAGGCAAGGCCTTTCTGGCAGGTGATATTTGAATGAAGGGCCAAGGGAAGTGAGGACGTAAGCCAATCACATATCTGGAAAGAAAGCATTCCTGGCAGAGAAAGCCTAAGAAAGGTTCAAGGAACAGAGGAAAAGGCCAGTGTGGCTGGTGTGGAGTGAGTGAGCAGGGAGTTGGAGAGATGTTGGTAAGCAGCTAAGGGCAGAGATGATGAGAGCCTATGGTGACTGCCGGCACTCTGCACTCTGCCTTTACCCTGAGAGAAACAGGAGCCACTGGAGGACTGTAAGGAGTAAGATTATTTGGCTCGTATCTTATTTTTTGAGATGGAATCTCACTACGTTGCCCAGACTGGAGTAAAATGGTGCAATCTTGGCTCACTACAACCTCCACCTCCCGAGAGGTTCAAGCGATTCTCCTGCCTCAGCCTCCCGAGTAGTTGGGACTACAGGTGCCCACCCGCAAACCTGGCTAATTTTTGTATTTTTAGTAGAGACAGGGTTTTACCATGTTGGTCAGGCTGGTCTTGAACTCCTGACCTCAGGTGATCTGCCCACCTTGCCCTCCCAAAGTACTGGGATTACAGGCATGAACCATTGCACCTGGTCCTGGCTCCTATTTTAAAAGGATCACTCAGGTGGCAGTGTTGAGAATACACTGAAAGAAGATAGGATTCTCTACCGGAGGCCCAGTCGGGAAGGAGGCTCTTGCAAGAATCCAGGGACAAAATGATAGTGGGTCCGACCAGGGTAGTCAGATTCTGGATATATTTTTAAAGCAGAACCAAGAATTTGCTGAGGGCTCAGCTGTGGGATGTGAGACAATGCAAGGAGTTATGGGTGACTCCAAGGTTTTGGCTCAAGTAACTAAGAGAACTAAGTGGCCATTTACAGAGAAAAGTGTCCAAAATAGAGGTTTCCTGATTACAGGCTGCAGAACAAGGAGAAATGTAAGGTCCTCTGGAATCCAATCAGAAAGGCAAGAGGGCTGGGTGACACTGGGAAAGTGCATTGGTCACTGTGTTTCAGGGCAGGGTTTCAATCCCTGGGAGGCAGGCTGATAAAAACAAGGCACAGGGAAATGAGGCAGGTTACCATGGGATTCTGGCACACAGGAGCCAGACAAGAGTCCAGTTATCAGAGCTGAGGCACAAGGCCAGCAATGGTGACTTGAGGCCAAATTACAGAGCCTGAGGCAGCCTCAGTCCCTCTGCTTCAGTTCAGGCTGGGTCCTAGAGCCAGTTGAGAGGCTGGCTAGTCAGGTTCAAGCGGCCCCAGGAGACCCAGGGGAAAAGGCTACAGAGGCCACAAACCAGACAGACCCAGCTCCGTCTGCAATATTACCAGGGTGATCTCAGCATATTACAGGCTGATTCTATGCCTTTAACAGATCACTATGTAAAAGGTCCAGACATGCAGCTGTATGAGCTCCTCAAAGAGAGGCAATGTTTGTACGTGTCTGAGACCTTGGTTGGGGGGCGGGGGAGCTAGGCCCTGAGATAGGAAGGGGGCATGCTAGTCTGTCATAGGACTGTAAAACAAAAGCAAGAAACGTTCTGGGGCACAGATGGGAGACAAATGCAGCTACCACCACCTCCCTGTCAGCAATGGGAGAGAAAGCAACCCTCAAGGGGAACAGCTCAAAACATGGGGGAGGGAGAAGCTGCTTCCAGACTGTGAGCGGGTGCTGGCGAGGTGGGCCATCCTACTTAGAAGTACAAGGTTAAGGAAAGATGCTAAGCTAAGCTTATGATTGTTCTAAGCTACATTTGCTAAGTTTGTTCTCAGACTCCCAGACACTGATTAAAGTGTTTTCTACACATTTTCTTCCCTGGCTAGAGTATAAGACATTTTTGCCAAAGAGAACTTTTAAAATTAAAACAAGTAAGGGGCAAACATCTGTAGAAGTTCAATCTGATAATTTGGTTAATGTATTTTTCATATTTTATTACAAAGATATATATGCATATATAACCATTTGGTGATTTATTATAAAAAGAATAATTCTGATGGTTGGCACTAAAACTGAAATTATTTTCTAGAAATGACAGGTCAATACATACTATTAAGCAATTAGAAAGTAGTCACTGGAAAGTAGTAGACCATAGCAAATCTTTTATTTTAATATAAAAGAGTCTGTATCCAGCCGGGCACGGTGGCTCACGCCTATAATCCCAGCACTTTGGGTGGCCGAGGTGGGAGGATCACAAGGTCAAGAGATCGAGACCTGGTCAACATGGTGAAACTCCGTCTCTACTAAAAATACAAAAAAATTAGCTGGGCATGGTGGCACGTGCCTGTAGTCCCAGCTACTCGGGAAGCTGAGGCAGGAGAATTGCTTGAACCCAGGAGGTGGAGGTGGGTAACAAGAGCGAAACTCCATCTCAAAAAAAAAAAAAAGTCTGTATCAACTCTAGGTTTTTTCTTAATATTTCTCTGACAACTGCAGATTTTCTGTGCATACCTGTATACCATAAATTAATGATCCTTTTGATTTTCACAAAAGTTGTCCATTTTCAAACAAATTAAGTCTTTAAGTCAATATATGAGAGGTATTACACAGACCCATGAAGCCCCAGTGAAACATTTGCTAGGCAGACTTGGTCACTCACCAGCCTCTAGGCCCATGTGATTAAATTTTGTTCAGTAAATATGCAAACTACTTTATGTCATGAACTTTGGAGTCATTCTTGAATAGTCAACACACACTTGGAACATCAGATCTGAAAAGCTAAGGATCTCCTGTCCTTAAGGTAATAAATATCCAACTCTATCAGTGTAAGAGTTTTGTTAGGATAAATATCATTGCCAAAAAGTAATGAAACCATATGTAGCAATCTTGGCGTTATTTCTACCCTTTGACTTCAGAATTCTACTTGTGGAAATCTATGGTCAGAAATATGGATGACTCACACATAAAAGTGTTTCTGACAATATTATTCATAAAGAAAAATCAGAATCAACTGAAATGTCTAACATTGGGGAAATGCTTATAAATTATAAGTCATATGATAAAATATTATTTAGCTATTAAAATTATCTATTATTTACAACACAGTTTAATGACATAGGGAAATAATTATTACATAATGGCTGAAAAAGAAAAAAACAGAATATGAAGAGTGAACCTGTATAAAGATACATGAAAAATAAATTTAACATTAAAATGGTAATCTCTAGTTGATGAAATATGGCTTAATTTTTTGTGTTGCTTTTTAATGTTTACATATTTTCCAAAATTCATACAATGAACATGTACTACTTTTATAATGAAAAACAAAGAATTAAGGACCAAGCTATAAACAAATTCAATGTATTTTCCTGAATGTAAATGTTTAAAAATGGAAGCTAAAAAAGAAAAAAAGGCCAGGCATGGTGGCTCATGCCTGAAATCCCAGCACTTTGAGAGGTCGAGGCAGTTGGATCACTTGAGGCCTGACCAATATAGTGACACCATATCTCTACTAAAAATATAAAAATTAATTGGGTGTGCTTGTGTGTGCCTCTAATCCCAGCAACTCAGGAGGGTGAGGCAGTAGAATGACTTGAACCCGGTAGGTGGAGGTTGCAGTGAGCCAAGATCGTGCCACTGCACTCCAACCTGGGTGACACAGCAAGACTCCGACTCGAAAATAAAAAATAAAAATAAAAAGAACACTAGAGTCAACGTGTTCGTGCTATAGTTATGGTATATACACCTAGTCTATTAAACTTGATTATAAGCTTTTTAAACTGATACTCTGAATTTTCTTCATAAACCCGCTAATATCTTACTCATATAGGCACTCAATAAATACTTATTAATAAATAAATTTGGGACAAGTTACAGTAGTGCTTAATATAATAAAAAGTGATTTTAATAGAACAAGTATTTCCTCGAATCTATATCTGTTTGGGCAAGGTAAGAACAGTTGGGTTTTGAGGGATAATGACGCATTGGTCTAGGCAATCAATTAAAAGAAGGGTTGCCACATGCAAGAGTGTGAGTGGTGCCTTCTCTGGCAGAAACGACAGCACCCCAAGGCCAGCAACTCTCCAATTTGTTTTCTGCCCCCACACACAGCACTCACCTTTCACATATGCATCCCCCACCCCCACATCCCAACAGGTGTAGGTCCTGGAAGCGCAGGGCCTCTCTTCCAGGTACTCTCCCACTTCTCAAAACTGAACAGCAGTAATGTCAGGATGGGGATAACCTTGATTTAACTCTAATTATTTTTTAACATAATTCTCAACCACTGGTATTTTATTAGTAAGAAACATAACTTGTAATGCAACTCACAGTGGAGTATAATGCTCTGGTGTGGGAAGATCCCTGGTTGAGAGCCGCTGAAGTAACAACAAAGCTACAAGCATTTAATCTACTGGGTGCTTCATACACATTATCCAGTTTCATCCTCACCAGGTCCTGTGAAGTAGGTACTTAATATTAACAGTCCTATTTCACAAATATGGAAAAGGGGCTTGGACTTGAATAGGTAAGCAGCTGTGCTAGAACTCAAACCCAAGCTGATGGCCAAGCTCATGCTGTACTAGTGACAGTAGAGGTGGCAGTGGTGGCAGAGGTAATCACAGCAGTGGAAGCAGGAGCAGTCAGGACAACTATAAGAGGAGGAAGACACCTCTAATGTGCTTGCTTGACACCAACCACTGTTCTAAGGGTGTTACATATAACAACTCATTTGTTCTTCTCAACAAAACTCTGACACTGGCATTATAACTATGCCCATTTTTACAGGTGAGAAAAGTAAGCCAAAGAGATGCTAAGTGGTTTGCCCAAGGTCATACAGCTAAAAAGTGGCAGAGGCTGCATTTGGATTCAGAGTGTGACCTTTTGCCTGTCACACTATGCAGCCTCTGTACCGCCCTTAAGATTGTGCCGTAATATTTTAAGGCAAAGTATATGTTGCTGCTTTAGTACTTGTGGTGTTTCTTTTCAAATAGACCACTTGTTTTATTCCATGGATAGCCTTCTCAGCAAACTCTTCCAACTTTTCTGACATAAAAGTTTTCAATTAATGGAATCCAATTCAGTCTTTTAAAGCAATACCTGGAGGGGTATTATAAAGAGCTTAAGTAGCCATGCTATCTCTGACCCCCCCATTGCATGAACTATTGAGAGCACGTGGGAGGCAGAATGAAAATGAGAATATTCCAGTTCTCTTGCTCAAGTTCTCATGGGCACAGATGTTCCTAATTCAGTGTGTGGTACCAATGTTTCCCTCCCCTTCTTTAACTTCAAACAGAGGCTTTATTCCAGGTGATTAAAGATTCATGAGTTGTCTACTTTTCTCTCTCATCCTATAAGTCTTCTATTCAACATGGTTGGTTAGATAAAAAGGAAGGGAAAAAAGAACGATTCAAATATGGATTAAAAAATACAACCACCATAATCTTGGTCGCAGCTCCTATTTTGGGACAGATGCACATTCCAAAACTATTAAGTAACCCCCTAACTCTCTGTGCTTCTCACTATTTCCTTAGGCAGAATAGAAGAACATGCTGCTGGAAGTCAAAATCAAAGGCAAACCAGTGAGCACTCACACACAGACGCAGTAAAAAAAAAAAAAAATCAGAGTTGTGCAGTGCATGTAGTTTGGGAGGCACAAACTCTTAAAAAGATTTGAGACAAGGTCAGAAAAATGTCAATCTCTGGAAAATAAAATAAGACACAACATATAATAGGTGACATTAGTAATCAGTGAAAAATCTTTCCCAGAAATAATTCATGCTAAAATAATTTACAAATGTGGTATTCTAAATCTCATGCAGAAGCCCAAGGTCACTGCCCTGCCTCATTATATCTAATAGTATTTGGATAAAAGCGGATTGTCTCAGAGCTGGCAGAGAGCATGCTGTACCAAGAGCAGGCCTGGCTATGGGAAGAAAATATAACATTATAACCTTGGGAACAAAATTCCTTCTCACTTTTAAGTTTTGAACAGGTAACTATGCCATGAACTATGAAGAATGAACATACATGACTAGAAATTAGTTAGATGCTTGGGAAGGAATCCATTTTCTTTACACCCCAGTTCCCTTAACACACTCGAGCTCCAAAACCTCTTGGTCAAGGCCTCATGCCTCCCATTAGCTCAGTTTATCCTATGGATAATTATTATAATCCCCATTTTGCATACAAAAAACTAGGCTGAGATAGTTGAGGAAATGCCCGCATCATCTATCAAGAGTGGCAGAAGCAGGACTCAAACCCAGGCCTGCCTGCTGCCTCAGCTTATCTTCGTCACGCCACAGCTTATCCTAAGGAGAACCAAAGGAAGGAGAGTTTACATCGCCCACACTCCAGGAGACAGAACTAAAGGAGAGGTAATCAGGAGCAATGAGCAGCTGGAAGCTGACTGCAGAAAAAGAGTTTCTGAAGACCATTAGATGATAAAAGAAGCTACTTTGAAGTCTCCATGGAGACTCTCTGATCTGTGACTCAAGACAGAACCATTTTGGAACAGTCTCTGAGATTCCAAGGTCATTTGTGGCTTAAAGCAGAGCAGCCCTTCTTCACAGAGGGGCAGTGGCCAGACTGAGGCTGCTCATGTGCAGTGCTGGACACGGAATTGACGGTGTTAGATGAGGAATAAATGGGCTGCCGACTTCTGTGGAGGGGCCAACTTCTTCATTTCTATGCGTCCTATGCCTCATACAAACCTGCTGTCACAGCAGGTGCTCAGGAAATGTTTGCCAAATTTATTATTTATTAATCAATTAAAGAGTGAAAAAGAAAAGCAGTTAACACCACACTCGGAGTAGGGAGGAAGCAGGAGAATACAACACCCTCACAGGGTAAGTCTGTTCCTTTAGAACGCACACGTGTGTGTGTGTGTGTGTGTGTAATGTAAGGGCACACCTACCATACAGGATCAATCTGTTCCTTTAGAAGACGTGTGTGTGAGTGTGTGCGTGCTCGCGTTGAGGGCATGCCTACCACACAGCCTTTGCGAGGAACTGCCACATTTACAACGAGAAATTCTACCAGCTGCAGATGTGATTCCACAGGCATCCTCTTTTGATAGGCAGGGTCAGTCTGTTCCTTTCGAAGACTAATGTGTGTGTAACGTAAGCACGCCTACCACACAGCCTTTCTGAGGAACTGCCACATTTTACAGTAAGAAAGTCTACCAAATGGAGATCTGATTTTGTGGGCATCCTCTTTTGAAAGGCATGTACTCAGAGCAGTTAAGTGGAAGTTCAAACTTTTGATATGAACTTAATCAGAGTGCTCTGCTTACCACTCAAACACACTTCAACCAAGGCACAGAAATCTGACTGGCTGATAGAGACAAGCTAGAAAGGGAGGACCACCTTACAGCCCTGGGCTCTCCGGAGAAGAAGGGACTCAATCTGGTGCTGAAACCAGAACCTGGAACGCAGCAAGAGAACGCCTACCTCCTCCAAGAACCCTCTCCTCTCAAAATAGGGGGCAGTGCTGTCCAGTTTGGTGGCCACCAGCCACATGTGGCGCCTGAGCACTTGAAATGTGGCTTTTGCAACCTAGGAACTGAATTTTTAATTGTATTTAATCTTAATTTACATGAAAACAGCCACAAAGACTAGTGACTAACATACTGGACAGCAGAGATGAGGGGGAGAAAGTAAGACGAGCACAGAGAAAGAGGTAGGAAATGATAAACACAAACTTCTGCTTCACAACTGTTGGTAAGCACTGTTTGTGTTGCCACATTACTGACGTCTGCTTAGTACTTTAGTTTTCCAAAGATGTGCCTCTATTCTGCATTCATTAGATCCTTATGAACAACTCTACCAAGTAATTGCCTTTATCACTGCTTATAGACAAGATTCAGAGAATTCTGTGATTTACCAAAGGAGACTCCGCTGGGGGGAGTCTAGTCACGTAACCCCAACACTGTCCAGATGGCATGAAGAAACCTCACCTCTTCCTTTCAGAAAAAGGAAGTAGAGAACAGATGGGTGCTTTGTTCATCTCATTGTTCTGCCCTCCACAATCTGAAAATATTGAATGAGAATCAGCCTCTCTTGTTTCACTCCATAAGCTTCTC